GAGATAGATGGTAGATTCCCCATCCCTGCAGACAAGGTCAGGCTGAGAGGGGCTCTGAGCAACTTGTTCTAGTTGTAGATGTCCCTGTATGTTGCGGGGAAGTTGAACTAGATGACCTTTAAAGATCCCTTCCAAGTCAGACGACTCAATGACCCCTTCCCACAGTTTTCCAGTAGTTTGAGCACTGTTTGTGGGTTGAAGTGTTGGGAGGCTGACTGGAGATGAGAAAAGGGAATTCTGTGGTGATAAATGTAACTATCATTCACATGACCCTGGAAGAATGTTTCTTCTATGGGAAGGGATTGATACCACAGTAAGATTGAGTATTGATGCTCTGAGGAAGATAGCTCCTGCTGGCTGAGGCAGCTGTGTAAGCAGCTGAGTTTACCTTAAAGGGAAATTTTCCCATCTTCTGGAGTGTGGCATACAGTTTGTAATAGTGGGATGGATTGGACGATGCTGTTAGTGAGTTCTCTGTGTGGCTAATTTAAAGCCCTGTTGCATGTGGTGGGGGAATACTGCTCAGCAGCCAGGATTTGATGTTTGTCTTGTGATCGTTTGGCGAGAGCATTCCCATTGCTTCAGCTGATGTCTTTGCCAAAAGGATCTCTGGCTTCAGTTTCACTCCTCTGGGAGGAAGCATCAGTGCAATTCATACCAGTCTTCCTGGAAGAGCTGCAGTGTCCTTATGAGGCTGCAAAGATGACATTTTCTTTTTAGTTCAGTTACCTTTGGAAGCAAAGCACGTGCAAACATCTGTGTGCAAGTCAATTTTGTTTCTTCTTTTCGAAATAGCCTTGAAATCATTGGTTTCCATCAACTCTGACAGAGATGTCTGAGGTGTGAGTTACTATATATATTAAAAAAAAAATAAAAAATAAAAAATAAAAAATAAAAAATGAAAAAGCTTCATGTAAGTTCAATGACAGCAGGTGACTGCACAAGAAATAACGTCCAGCCTGCCTTAGAAGGTGGAGGTGGGCTTGCGTGGTCCCATGCAAATTGGGGTGGGAGCTCTGGGCGCTGAGGGCGGTCATCTGGGGAATGTTGATCCAAAGGAGAGACCCAGGGAGATCAGCCTCAGTGATGGAGTGCTTGGAGAGGTTTGGGTTGTTCTTACTGTTTCAGAAACTGGATTTAGTTCAGAAAGAAGCATCTAGTATTAGAAACATGAAAGAGGCAAGAGTTTGAAAGGGTCTCTCTTTTTCTTTAAGCAGTGTTTCCTAAAGCAGGTTATGACCCTCTGAAGAATTTGGCAGCTGTTATCTGAAGGGCTGGAACTGTAGCTGAGATCCTACAGAGGTGAAAGCAGGGGGCTATTAAACAGGCCCTAACACCCACTCAGGGTCTCATTCCTTTCTTTCCTTTTCCTGCAGCCATCACCAGAATGACCTCCTGCTTTTCAGGAACAGAGCAGCAAGCATTTGGCTGTGCCCAGTTTTCATTGTTTCTCTGAGCCGTCACGCTGGAAGAGATTAACTTGGAAGTGAATTTTCTCTGAGAGCCCATCTTGGGGGTGATGAAGGGAAGAGCATTGGCACTGACCTTGGTCAGGGTGTCATGGGGAAGGCAGTGTGACCTGAGCATGGAAACATTAACCTGGGGCTGAGCAGTTGGCTCTGGGAGAGTTGCTTTGTTAGAGCTGGGGCACCCCAGTGCACACTGCCCTTGTGCTGTTTATCATCTAGGTTCATTTTTAGCAGCAGGGAGGATTGCTTCTCCCACTTTTTCCCCCTGTATTTGTCACCTGCTCCTAAATTTTCAAAAACTTCCTTGCCAATCATTTTTTCTATTGGCATCTTTCTCTGCACCTATGCTTGTTTTCACTAATGTGTTTGGCATCCTTTCTTTTTCTTTCCACCCTGGAACTCAATAAGCAAATTGTGTGGTTGTAAGTCCTTAAGTAGCTGTGTTGCTATGTTTTCTGTGCTCTTCAGAGAAGCATGGAAACCTGTCTTTGTTCAGTCCCAGGAGCACGGCACGCCGCTGCAGCTACCAAAGAACAGCTTGCTTGTGGCACATCGAGCTGCAGCTTGGTTTAATCCTTGCTTGATACGCTTTTGAGATTTTATTGTTTCTCTATAATTAAGTGCTACAGCAGAGCTGAAAGAAATGACGAATTAGCAGGAGAGGGGGGAGCAGGGAGAGCAGGTGGTGATCGAACCAAGAGAAGCAGGAGCAGCAGGGAATTGATGGGGAGGAGCCTTGGGTTGAGATGCTTCCCTGCCATGTGCCCAGAAGGATTTAGTTTTGGATCTCATTGCTGTTCAAATAACGCCGTACGCCCATAGGAGATTGAAGCCTCGGAGGCTGGGTATTGTCCAAGCACTTAGTGAGAAGCAGTGTTTGCCCTGAAGTTCTAGCAGGCCTGGATGAGAGAGTAGGACAGAGCTGTAGTGTGGTCCTGTTTCTAATTATTCTGCATCCATTGTTTCCATTTTCATTGTGTAGTAACATCTTTAAAAATAAATGAGAACACAGAACCACTCTTTGTGTAGGAAGAAAGGTTCTGTGTAGGTTCTCTTCTATGGAAGCCCAGGACTTGAAGACTCTTCTCATGAAAGATTTTATCCGTAGCAGTGATTGGATCTCCTGTAGTGGTGTCATGCATGGATTGTAAGTAGCATCTCTGCTGGACAAGCTGATACCAGCAGGATTTGAGCAGCACAGAAACGCTGGTGTGCCACATTGCAGGGAACTGCAGCCAGAAGAGCTTTGAGTCAGATCACTGCTGGTGATGACTGGGTAGCTCTATGACCAAGTCTGTAGTGCAAATCTGACTGAAGGGTGAGAAGGTTTGTATTACAGGACAGTCTCCTGAGGTGCATTGCTGAGATGTAATCATACAGCATCCAGCTTGTCTTCATCTCCAGTTTATGATGCACTGAGGCATCCAAAGAAAGAAAGCATAGTACTGCAGCTTTGAATGTGTCAGCAGCAGTGATTCTGGGATCCGATTCTTTCTAAGGAATAACAGTCACAAAGGTTTACTTCTCTTGTTCTGACTTCCAAAGGTCTGTTGCTGCAGAGAGACTTGCAGTATGATGAAATGTGAGCATAACTCCCTTCTCCTGCCTTTTGTCACCACTTCTTCATGCTCTGCTGTGTATATCCTGAGTCACTTTGTGTGTTTTTACTTTCTCCCTCTCAAAGCAGGAGCAGAGTAGGGATGGAGAGGGGCAGGTCCGTGCCACCAAGGGCTCTCAGTGAGTGGCAATGAGTCCTCTGTGTGCTGCCTGCCAGGCAGAGTTTGCTTTGGCATGGTTGCTGCACATTTGATGTTGTGTATATTGCAGCCATGCTGCTGGCAGTCTAGCCAACTCCAAGTCAGAAAACTCCTCCTGGATTTTCAGCCTTCCATCATCTCCATCCTTTGCTCAGAAGTCCTTACACTTGCTCAAGCTCATTTTCAAAGTTCCTGGTAACTATTCTTGCCCCTGTTGTAACTATTCTGCCCTTGTGCTTTTCTTCCCCCTGAGCATCTCTGGTACTTTGTTTTGTACTCTGCTAGAAATAGTCCCTGAAAATTAAAATAGTTGGGAGTAACAAATAGCCTTGAACTTCTTTAAACCCCATTTGATTCATGAAATAGTACAGCTTGAGCACCCTTGCCATTCTGTGTTCTTCATGCTCCTGCTTTCTGCCTTTAGAATGGGAACTCTTTCAGTGCAGCCGATCAACTGGCAAGCTGGAGCTGTTGCCCAGAATCTGCTTGTTACAACATGAAGTGAAACTCTTAAGAGAGGGTGCTCGTTGAAGACTAGAGGATCAAGTTCAGAGCTTTGTCACTTACCCCAGTGTGACTTTGGATGGAGCAGGTTTTCTTTTAGGACCAGGTTTCAAGTTCTTTCTCCACCATGGCACTTCATATTTGAGTTTGGCTGTGAGTTGATGTCTGTTGCTGTGAGATGGGTGCTGTGGAGAGCTTCAGTAGCCTTTGCATGCAGACTGCTAGCTTTTGCCCCTGGTTTATCTGAATGTCTTGGAAAGATTGTTTGCAGAAATGTTGTGGTTGATCTGTATGGAAGAATCCTGAGGTAGGTTGTATAGTATTAAAAGGGGAGAACCTTCTAAAACAGGTGTTTTATGCCACAATGCAGAATGGATATTTTTTCAATAGCATTTTCATAGAATATTGGCAATAGGAAATTCCTGATCTTTCTCATTTATCCTACTGCTTTTCTTACTCTGGAATTGATTCCTTTCTAGTGAAGATGAATCAAGATCAGGGTAGAAAGCAAAGCATCGAGGTTTGCTAAGAAGCAAATATTGCAGCTCTTTCTGGGGGCTGACAAATACAGGTCAATAATGGCTTTGGTGATTTAAATCTCACTGTTGCACAGTGCTTTTGATAACAAAGGGTGTATGATGGTACTGAGCAGTTTAAATCCAGAACTTTTGTGCCTGCTTTTACTAGTTTGAACGGCTTCAAATGACAGCATTTTCTCCCTGTTTGAATTTAAATGTTCTTTGGTTGAGGTTTTCAACCCAAATACCAAAGTATTGTGCCACTAGCTGAAAAACTGAACAGGCTTGAATGAAGCCTGCCTCGTGCTGTTGCATAAAACAAGAGGGAAGCTCTGAAGGGAATTAGTACATAAAACTATTTGAGAAATGTCATTAGTGCTGGTAGCAAAGAGAATGGCTTGTTTCAACACTCTGGGTGAACACACCAGGTTAAAAGCATGACATCACTGGCTTTTCTTTTAAAAGGATCAGCCCTCTGTTATAAGTAAACCAGAGCATGTTTTTTCCTGTGTAGCTGTAGTGGTTCCTCATGAGAACCCCCTTGTTTATGCTGGGTTAGCCCAGCTCTTTGATGCTGCAGCTGAGCTGTTGAGTTGTCCAAGGGCTCAGTGCCTATGGGTGGGCTTCCCTGGGTTGTCACCTGGCTCTGCTGTCTCTACTAAGGAGCACTTGTCCCTTTGTTGTCTGACCTCCCTTTCTTCCTGCAGGAGTCCTGTAGGATGATGTTAACCATCTCTTTCTCCCACCCACAGGGAGCGGAGCGACAGCTGTGGTGCAGGCAGCCTTCTGTGTTCCAAAGAAGGAGAAGGTGGCAATTAAACGGATCAATCTTGAGAAGTGTCAGACGAGCATGGATGAACTCCTGGTATGCAACCAAAACGGTCTGGCGAATTGTATTGCAGCTAACATCATCTGTTTGCTTACTGAGTGCCTTTAAAGGACATTTCTTGAGGTGGTGTGAGAGGACCTGACTGATTTAGCTGGAGGCAGACCAATCCCTGGTTGTGGGGCACAGTCCCTAAGAAAATGTTAAAAAAAAAGATCAATTGTTGGAGAACTTCAAGCTGTTGTTTAGAGCTAAGCATTCTGTGTAATCCCTTTGTTTTGAGTGGGGTTGATGTGGAAGTGTAAGTCCAACTGCCTGTACAAGAGCTGTGCAATGGAAGCTAAGGCTTCTGCGAACCTTACAATTTAGGGGAATCATTTTGCCTTTTCTTCCTATCCTGCAGTTCCTTACATTCTCTACTTCACCTGTAAAAAGAGAAACTGAATGAGGTTGCTCTTGTCAGGCTTGTATGTTGATGGGATTTTCCTGCTGGTGAGAGAGCTGGTGTTTCTAGTGCAGCACAGTTCATCTCACATGTAGAAGGTCCCTTAAGCCAGACAGGGATGGACATTCCTATGGACAGGTGTCAGCATTGAAGCTGTAAAAGTTCTCTTGGGTAAAGCTTTCCATAGTAAATAATGATCAACAGGATCTGTGGAGAGGCAGAGAGAAGATCTTACACCACCTTTCCTTTTAAAGCAGCTCTCCAGTATTTTCTTCGTCCTTCCTGTATTTTCATTTGTGTTCTGACAGCTTCTGTGCTGTTAAGCCAGGTGCTGATTTTGGGGATCACAGAGGGAAAACAGAACAGGGACAGAATGCAGATATCCTGGCTAGTTCTGCACGTGTATAATTCTCAGCAAGTCACATGAACTACAGTTCCAGTTTCCATACAGTGACTAATGCTGTTTTTATCATCATAGGTATCTACAAATATGCTCTTGTAAAGAGGAAAGGCTCCATTCAAGCTGTCATGTTGTAATGTGCCTGTGAAGGACTGTGTGTAGGACTCTCTCTTAAGATGACCTGCATTCAAGCTCTGTTACAGCTCTTCTTAGCATAGGGGTTGCAGATTGCTTCCCTTTTCACAGTCAGTTTTTCTGTCTTGAGTACTGTCCCTTGGTACTCTTTCCAAGTCTTTTATGTGACTTATCCCTACTTCTGTGCCTCAGCAGTATGCCAAACAGAATCGTCACAATCTACTAATTGAGATTGTTAGTGTTTGAGTAATTGCCAGTTCCAGCTAAAAGGGTTAGGTTCAGAAAGATACGCTGCAGAGACTTGGCATGTAATTTTAGATAAGTATGTCTAATTGCATATTTTAAATCTCTCGTTGACCTGTTGCTCACAATGACTTGACTTGTTATGGCAGCACTGCAATGAAAGGCTCTTGTCAGGTCTCAGATTCCAATTTTGTTACCAAATAGAGTGTGGGTCGGTCTTCAGGCTTTTTTATAGGTCTGTTGTGAAGGCAGACATTTACATCTCAACATAGCGTTTGTTAACGCCTGGGATGAAGGCAGGTCTTTCTATACCTGCTGTCAGACTCTTCATAGCTTGCCTGGTAGCTTTTTGTAGTCAGCACTTGTGTTGTATGGCTCCAACAGACAAACTCGGGCACAGCCTGTAGAAAATAACTTCTTTATAGTGAGATGTGCAAAAGTGAGGAGGACCTGATGGTAAGTAGTCCTCCAAGCCAGTTAATCTGTCCTCAGATGTAACATTTCTTTGGTGTGCTTCCGATGATTTTATTCTAACAGCATCATACAGCTCGTTCAGAAGGTCAGGTCCTCCTTTTTCACTCTGATACAGTAGTCTGACTGGTTCTCTTTTTCTGCATACCTCAGAAGACAAATTCTTAATCTGATCTTTGAAATAAGCCTCTGTGCCATGTCTTCAGTTGTGCTGCCAGATACTGTAGCCCTTCTAGAAACCTGACTTGAGAAACACAAGTAAGTGATTAGTGCCTGATGCTTCAGAGGAGAATGCAGTATTTGAGCCCTGAACAATTTTGGGATAATCTCTTGCTAAATAAGTTTTTGTTCTGATGTGTAACAGTTGAGCTCTTATTTATCCAGATTTAAATTGATCTCTTATTTTTGAAAATGTATCAAAAATGCAACTATAGTGACTTGAAATAATGAGAGGAGGAAGATGTTTTTGGAGCTGCTGTAGCTTTCTGGGGCAGGGGTCACCAAGGTAGGTGTGTTTTATGGGAAAGAGTCTTTTCCCTTGATTTGTTCTGAATTTCAGCTTATTGAATGGTTGTTTCTCAATGAAAGAGTCAAAAAGGTTGAAGCTCTTCCACACTTCTTGATCTCGTCTCCATATTTGCCTCTTCTCCAGAGTAAATATTTTCAAGGCTTTCAGTCTTGTGGTCTCCCTTTGTGCCAGTTTCCTAGGTTTGTTTAATTACCTTTTTCTGAGCAACCACTTGTTATTGCAGGATTATTTTTTTTTCTCCAAAGCCCATAAATGCAAGCCCTTGTGGAGTACAGCTCTAAGAAGCGAGTGCAAAGAGAAAATATGGTGAGTCCATACTAATGCTATGCTCTCTCCTTGCTTTCTCTTCTCCCCTAATGCTGTTAAAAGCATGAAGTTGGGCTTTTATTAGATCCATTATCTTTCTATTGCACTGAGGGTATCCAGGCACAATAGTCGGCTTATGGAAAACTTTCTGTCTCTCAGGCAGTAAATCAATGCTCTCTTGTTACAGCAGTGCCCAGCCATCAGAAAGGGGAAAATCTAACTTAAAATACGTTTTTTTTTCCTTCTAATTCTGCAGTGCTTCAGATGTGTCTGGATACGAGGAAACATAGGAGCACCTCCTAGCTTGTGGAGATGCCTTGCCTAGAGTGATTAAGCTGATCTAATAGTAGGGCTTGACTCATTAAAGGTATTGATTTTGATCCTGATATCTCCACATCCACTCAAGCTGTGCTGGTGTTCAGGGGTAACCTGCATGCTCTGCAAACGCTGCATGACATTCTAGGTTACTGCAGTGGATTGGTTTCCTTCTGTTGCAGCGTATGGAAAGGTGCAATTTTTGGAAGGAGTGATTTTTGTTGTACTGAGCAAACCAAGTTGAGACCATTGAAGTCTTCAGATGGAGTGATAATTGCTGTAATTGTACAGACTGAGAGGCATAATGCTATTCAGAGATGTGGTTCTCTCTAGCCCAGCTACCAAATCAGGTAATACTAATCAGGAATTGATTTTAATACTTGATTTCTTTTTTTTCTTTCCTCCTGTGCATTAAATGTTGGCAGATCTTTCCTAAAAGGCCTATGAAGTTCATCTGGAAGGAAAGTACAGTACAGCTTATTTTGGTTCCTGCTGACCAGTGTGACTGAAAGCAGTGTGTATTGTCAAATATGGTGATCATCAGTCTACTACTGGTCTTTGGGGCTTCTCTAGTTGTTGTTTCAGTTCCACTTCTTACTTGTTGTGCAGCCCACAGTAGATAAATGCACGTGAAGTGCTGCTTAATTTTGTTGAAAACAGCCAACTTGTGTTGTATTTCACAGCTGAATGTTGTTTCCTGCTGTGTTGCTCTTCCCTCTACTTTCCTATATGGCATGTAGTTACTGCAGTTGGTTGTCCTTGAAGAGCAGTGACATAACAGCTGCCTCAGAATAACTGTGCCTCAAGCTTTGTTCTTATACAGATGTGTTCTTGTAAGGAATTATTGATCTTAAAGGCCTTAGGTTTCTCTGTCCGTCAGGCTCAGCTTCGTTTTCATACAATTAAAACAGAATTAGCTTTCTTTCATCCACATGGATTTTTCCTTGCTTTTGGAGAAGCAGATGGTAGGATTTCTTTCTGTTTAGCAGTTGGTGAGAATGTTGAATAGCTGTGGGGTATATCACAAAAGGACAGAGTTGTAGGGCTTGGAAGGGACGTTAAGAGATAGAGTCCAACCCTCCTGCTAAAGCAGATGCCCTATAATAGGTTGTACAGAAGATGGGTCTTAAGTATCTCCATAGAAGGAGACTCTACTCTTTCTGGGCAACTTGTTCCAGTGCTCCATCACCATTACTGTAAAGAAGTTCTTCTGCATATTAGCATGGAACTTCCTATGTTCAAGTTTTAGGCCATTATTCCTTGTCCTGTTGCTACATGCTGCCAAGAAGAGCCTGGCCTCATCTCTTTGCCTCCTACCTCCCTTTAGGTATTTATAAACATTTATCAGATCCTCCCCATGTCCCCAGTTGTCTCTTCCCCAGGTTGAACAGACCCAGCCTACTCAGCCTTTCCTCATTTGGGAGATGCTGCAGGCCCTTAATCATCTTTGTGGTCCTCTAAACTCCTTCCTTTTTTTTATTGAGCTGGGGAGCCCAGAGCTGGATGCAGTAGTCTAAATGTGGCCTTGCCAGGGCAGAATAGAGGGCGAGGATCATCTCCCTTGTCCTGTTGGCCGAGCTCTTTGTAATGCACCCTACGATTCCATTGGCCTTCTTGGCCACAAGGGCACACTGCTGGCTTGTGGCCAAGCTGTTGTCCACCAGCACCTCCAGTCCTTCTCTGCAGAGCTCTGCTGAATTCTTCTAGGTAGATCTTTCTCAATTGAGAGAGCACTGCTGCCTCTGCAGCTCCCAGAGTTATTCAATAGAGAACAAGTTTGGGAAACAGAGTCCAGAGATGGGCATAACAGCTTTTGTACATAAAAGGAGAGAAGTGGGGGTACTACTTTCTTCTACTCCTGTGGTCAGAGGGTAAGGAAGCTGAGGGTAACAAATCTAACTACAATAGAAATATATGTCCTTTTGAATTTCATGGAATTGGCCTGGGGAGCTTGCTGCCAGTAATATGGAGATCAAACATTGCATGAGATTAAATAAATCAACCTATAGTAGAGAGGGTTAAATTAGATAGGATTTATAAAAAGGATTATGAACTCCCCTGGTTTAAAGCATCAGCCAACTGTTAACTGCCTGGGCTTAGTTAGAAGTCTCCCCTCCGGGCAGATAAATCTGTAACTGCTTGTTAGAGGGTTTTACACCTTCTTTTGAAGACTTGGACAGGATATTGAACTGGCT